CTTGAGTAAGTTCACACCAGTGCTTCTCACACTTCAGTGTGCAAATAAATCACTAAGGATCGTGTTACTTTTACAAGCACATGATAACTCAATATGCTCAAGAGGGCCGGAGCTTGTGCACTTCTAACAAGATCCCCCGTGATGCAGCTGCTGCTAGGCCATAGACTAATCAGCAAGGGTTTACACGATTCAGAAGAGTGTGTTCCTTGGCATAAAGCTTCTCCTTACCCAGGGGAAGACTGAGTAAGAAAGGAGGGCCTGGGACCAGCAGATGGCATAGTGGTTATGTGATTGGCCTCCCATGTATTAGACCATGGTTTGAGTCCTAGATCCAGTGGATAAAAACTCACATGGGGCACGTGTGCATGCATGCCCAAAATCCTGAGAGGAGAATGGAGGAGAAGGCATTGCAGTATGGCCAATGCCCCTGGGGAGTGATTTCTGGTTTTCTGTCTTTCAGTAAGCACAAACACCTTATAGCAAAAATCTCTCTAAAATAAAAAAAGAAAGAAAGAAAGGAGGGCCCATTGTGGACCAGCTGCTATGCTGGGAGCTCTCAGACCGCATCTCCTTGACTCTTCACAACAACCCATAGGCACTACTATGGGTGTTAGTTGGTCAACAGTGGTATAGCCACTCAAAGAGAAGGCCACAGGGCCCAAACCAAGATTTCTGCTAAGGTGGTGGTGGTAGTGGTGGTAGTGGTGGTGGTGGTGGTGGGGGGTGAATCCTATGGCAAGTACAGAACTGTGATTACCCTAATCACGGATCTGAAAGGTACTTGTGAGTCATTCCCGTTTTATTTAGCTGCTTCCTGCTGTGATTTTGAGTCAAAACAGGAACAACTTGTCTAATTTGTAATATTACCCAGCAATGTCAGGGATGTGGTTAGCTCTGATTAGAAATCCTAGACTCAGCATGCTCCCCTTGCCTCTGTGAAGACATGTAGAGAGAAAAGTTGGAGGAGGCATGGATTAAAACAAAGCAAACGCCTTCAAAAGTCACACGGTATGCTACTCAGGTGTCTGCTCTCTACCTGCACGCCATAGTCAAAACTCAATTAGGAGCCTCCGATGCTTGAACAGACCTAGGGCTAAACAAGCCTGGCTTCCTGCCCTCAGGCAAGCACAAGACCCCAATCCTCTACAAAAAGCCCAAATAATACTAACAGCTAATGGATAGTGACCGCTTCTACTGCAATATGGTGGGTGAATTGATCTGGTCAATCGTCCCAACACCTCTTCTCGCCCTCTTTGCATTTCCATTGTATAGCTGAGGGGACTGAAGCATGGAGATGTCAAGTCATCAGCCCAAGGTATCAAAGCTAAGTAGTAGTAGAAGAGGCCTTAAAACCCCGGAAATCCAACTATTGCTCTCACTCTTGACCACTGCACTAGACCGCTTCTCTTAACGACAACAGCAGAACTCATCTTCTTGCCCAGTGCATGTAAAATCAGTGTCCTGGGCTAACCACCTTCAGGTGCTCTGTCTTGTTTTTTCTTTCTTTCTTTTTCGGAGAGGTTTTTGCTACAGGGCACGCGTGCACTTGCCAGAAAGACAGAGAGAGACAGAGAGACAGAAAGCAAGAAATCACCCCCTAGCGAGATGGCCACACCACAATCCCTTCTCCTCCATTCTCCTCTTGGGATCTTGGGCATGTACACACATGTGTCCAGCGTAAGTTTAAGCCATCAGGTTTGGGACTCAAACCGCAGTCGACTACATGGGAGTCCAGCAACATAGCCGTTATGCCAACTGCTGATCCCTCAGGGCAGTTTCTTATACTTCACTTGGCACCCATCTCTGAAATGAATAAAACTGAGTGGTTGTGTTTGCTTTGTAAAGGTTCACTGAGACCAAATGATACATCGTGATTGAATGTTTTTAAAAAATGAGAACAAATAATAATAATAATCTGAACAAAATGATAAAAAGCTATTTGGTGATGATGATGTGGATAGTAATGTCATTGTCTTGACTGATGTGCATGGTAATCATGCTGGGAAAAGAAATGTAATACACTGTAAAGATAAATGTGATTCAATGTAATATAGAAAAGATTATGATAATAATAAAATTAAATTTTAAAAAAATAAAGAAGAATAAAAAAAGAAAAGGTTCACTGAGAGATAATAACCATAGCATGTCTTTGCAAAGTGAGTAAGTCCTTTGCAAGTAAACAGGGTTACTGGCCACTCGGGATCCCTTCCTCTAGTAAATCCTACACTGGCTTCAATTCTGGGAGTCTGTCTGGTCTTGTTTGAGGACAAGTCAAAGTCCATCACTAGGCCATAACCATGACCTAGACAAACACCCTTGCTTCTACAATAGTTGGGATTTCATGCTTTGGTTGAGTGCAGTAGACTCTGACTTCCTTAAATTCCACACAAAATCTTCTGAGAAGAAAGAATCTTCAGAAACAGGGAGATGTGAGTGAGTGAAAGACAGACTCCATCTTATCCTGATTAATCCTCTGCTGTTGCCTGCCCCTGGCCATGTAGAAAGAAAAAGGAACAGCACAGTCCGACTGGGAGATTTGGGTGGCAAAGAAGGTACCTGGTTCAGAGAGAAGCAGCAAGGGCTCTTTAAGAGTTTTGTTCTAAAGAATGGTTTTCTTTTCTTTCTCTGTTTCTTTTTCTTTCTTTTCTTTCTTTTGAGGTTTTTGACATAGGGCATGTGTGCTTGTCAGAGAAGAGACAGGGAGAGACAGTGAGAGGGAAAGTGAGAAATCACCTCTCAGAGGGGATGGCCACACCACAAGTCCTTCTCCTCCATTCTCCTGGGATTTGGGGTACACATGCATACACACCTGGAGTAATTTTCAAGCTGCCAGGTCCAGGACTCAAACCATGGTTAGCCCTGTAGGGAGTCCAGTACCTTAACTACCAAGCCACTTTTTGGCCCCTAGAACACTATTTTTCAAACTCAAGAAAGTTAGAACATCTATCTGAAATCTCTACCTTCTACTGAGCTCAGTATATACGACAGGTAAAGAAGACCTGTCCCATCCCCTTGTTGCTCAGTTCTGCAGAACAGCCCCTAATGCCACTCAGAAGGCAGATTTCAATCTTATCCCTCAGCAACAAGTTTGTGTTGAGAATCTGGAGACAGTAGGCTCCAACCCCAACTCTGCCACTGAGTGATTGAGTACTGGCAGGCACGATGGTTTGGGTGTCCCCCAAAATCTGTGTGAGCGAACTTAGTTGTATTTCGCAAGTATCAAGAGGAAACTTAGTATCTTCATGGTATTGAAAGGTAGAGCTTTGGGGATAAGGAAGTGATTAGGATAGAGACTCCTGGTGGGCTTCTAATGAAGGGAATGAGACCAGAACAGAGATACATGGAGGGACATAGCACCTCTGCTCTCCCTTTACCCTTGTGGTGTGAAGTCTTAGAACTCTGCAAAACCCTCATAGATATGCCACCTGGACCTAAGACCTTCTAACCATGAGCTGAATAAACCTCTACTCTCTTAATTACTCATGCTTTGGTATTTTCTATTATTAGCAATGTAACAGACTAGAACAGTAGACAAGTTGCTAAACTTCTGTATTCCTATTTTTCTCCCATTTTATCAGCTGGAGTTAGCAATCAAAATTTCCTTGCTGGGCCTTAAGAGGATTATGTCAATGTACACAAAGTCAAAGTACTTCAAGAAGGTGAACGGGACCATAAGGACAGAAGCTATTTTTCTAAACTGACCTCCGGGAGACTGAAATGCGTAGAGATGGAAAGCGAGGGGCTTGCAGGGAGGCCCATTCTCCCACCAAGCCCTCTGCCTGACCTCACGATTAGTCACTACCACAGAGTGGCAGAGAAAACCCAGGCTAAATGGAGGAAATGGTGGAACTTTAACATTTGTTCCTTTTTTTTTTTTGGACACATGGCTGGGTGTCTGCAGAGGCAGAGGAAGACAGTAACCTCTTGTTAACAAAGGCTGTGGAGCATTCTTCAGAGATGCCCATGCTTTAGAAGACTGAGATCATGGCCTTGGTGAAATACTTTAACCAAGTCATGAAATACAGGAAGATAGCAAACACATTTTAGAAATGAGAAGAACACTCTCAGCAGCGACAGTGAAAAGGCATGAGGATCCTTTCTGTAGGCCGTGCCTCCCTCTTGATTGTGGGAGGAGCTACACAATGTGGACTGCACTTTTCATTTTATTTTATTTTTATTATGTTTTAGTGAGATATTTGCTATAGGGCATGAGCGCTCGCTGAAGAGACAGAGAGACAGAGACACAGAAAGAGAGAAATCACCCCCCAGGGGTGCAGGATCCCTTCTCCTCCATTCTCCCTTAGGGCTCTTGGGCACATATGCACATGCACCCGGCATGAGTTTTAAGCCACCGGGTCCGAGACTCGAACTGCGGTCGACTACATGGGAGTCCAGCAACGTAACCATTATACCATCCACTAGTCTCAGCGCCCCACTCTTTTTTTTTTTTTTGGAGAGATTTTAACTGTAGGGCGCATGCGCTCACCAGACAGACAGAGAGAGACATAGAGACAGAAAGCAAGAAATCACCCCCCAGGGGGGATGGTCACGCCGCAATCCCTTCTCCTCCATTCTCCTCTCGGGATCTTGGACACGCATGCACACGCGCCCGGCATGAGTTTTAAGCCACCGGGTCCGGGACACGAACCGCGGTCGACTACGTGGGAGTCCAGCAACATAGCCATTATGCTAACTGCTGGTCCGAGCCTCCCTTTCTAACAAGTTTCCAGGTAATACCGAGGCAGGTGTAGCTGGATGGCGCTTTGCTCTAGGTGAAACAGTATTTGCCAAAGACAAATGAACAAAACTGTGGGCCTGGTGAACTGGCTGTGACAAGGATCAGAATCAATCCTGCTACTCCTTTTTCCACCAGGGGGAGGGGTCCCTAGTCCACTGTCCACCATCAGTCCCCAGAGGAGGTCCTCAACGGAACTGCAGACCAGGATGCGAAACCTGACAGAGCGTCTGAGGCCCCAGGCCCTCAAGAGAAGGAAACTCACCTTCGGAGAAGATGATGTCGTCATTGCACTCGTCGGAGCTACAGGAACACATGAAGAAAGTCTCGCCGAACACTTTCTTTTCTTTCATAATACACTTTGTAGAAGCAGCATCTTCCAGGATGAATCCATGGTAGGTGAGTTTGGGGTCATGGCAAACCGTCTCGAGGGTTATATTCTCATCGTTCTTTCTCCTGGCATGCGGAAGTTCATTGGGAGGGAGAGACAGAGAGAGAGAGAAGGAATGAATATGGCCTCTAACAGGAGGGCAATCTGGACCCTCTGTTCTTCACACAGTTGTCCTAAAACAGCAGTTGGTTCCTACCTTCCAGCATGAGCAGGCCATCCTGTAGCCCCCCCAAGCTTTTTCCTCTCCTTTCCCTTTCCCTTCGTCATTTTCAGAACCCACTTATGATCATAAACCCAATGGCTATCCTTGGGGGTTGTCGGGCTGGAGAATTTCACACATTAAGTCGTTGTTAAATCATGACAGGGAGAAAGAAGATTCCCAGGTACTCAGGATGATTTTAAACCTCCCATGCTGAATGCACTGCAAGGGTCTCGTCACGTTCCTCGTTTATTTCAGAGGCAGGATCCTGTCTAACTAAACTGTTCTCAAAGCACACGCCTGAGGAAGGAGTCACGGTTCCTCTTTTCTGCTTGCTGGGCCGCAAGGCGCTGCGTGTGAGAGGCATGTTCCATGTCGGCAGCTGGTTCTGCCAAGAAAATGGAAGGAAACGTCCCGACTAGATTTGCAGTTTCCCAATTACAGAGAAGAATATAAAAAAAAAATATATATATATATGAGAAAGAGCTGCAGGGTGTTCGTCACTTGCAGTTCAGTGAAAGTTTCATGCCATCATAAATTATTTCTACGTTGAAGACACCCTCACACCTCATACTGGGAGGCTAATTTAGCTAAAGGCTCCAAGAATCTCACGTGTGGGATTTTTCCATAGGTCTTAGGAAGTGCTCAGTTGGCTCTAAGTCTACATTTTAAAATGGCACGATTGGAGTTAAGGCACTGGACTTCCACATGGCTGATTGTGGGTGGATTTCCGGACCTGGTGACTTGAAAAATCACTCTAGGCATGTAGGCATATGTGTGTGCATGTCCCAAATCCCAGGAGGAGAATAGAGGAGAAGGGTATGCAGCATGGCCGTCCCCCTGGGGGTGATTCTCACTTTCCCTTTCTCTCTCCCTCTACCTTCGGTGAGTGTGTATGTCCTGTGGCAAAATCCTAGATAAAAAAATATGGCATGAATAATGCCCACTGCTATCATTGCAAAAGCCAAAATAAAACTTTGCATTCGCAGAAAAGGGCATCATCTCTACTTACTTGCTCCCTCTGCTCCCCTCAGGAACGTGCCACCCGATGACTCTATCCAATTAGAGGCTGGTCTGACACCCTTCCCTTCCATTGGAGCCCTTTTAGATGCAAAATGACCTGATGTCTTAAATGGCCTTCTTTATATCCAAAAGGAAAGGCTAGAAAAGGGCTAGTGAGACCTTAAATGATGTGACAGGTACAGTCAAGTTGGCTAGTCATGAAAAGAATTCTGGGGACCAGCAGGTGGCATGGTGGTTAAGGCGCTGGACACTCCCATATGGCCGACTGTGGTTCAAATACTGGACCTGGTGGCTTGCTTTCTCACTTTCCCTCTCTCTGTATCTCTCTCTGGTCAAGTCAAAATAAATGAATGAATAAATAAAATTAAATAATTATTTAAAAAGAAAAAGAATTCTGAGTGCATGCATGTGAACACACATGTGTAACACGTGCACAGACACACACACTTGCAAACTCAATAAAAATACCTCCCCAAACACACACACACACACTTACTGATCACAGCAAGAAAATGGAAAGGCAGATTGGACTCAGGATGCGGCTAACATACAGCTTTGAGCTGGAAAAGTGGTAGGGCCAGTCCCTGAGGTAAAAAGCAACTTTGACTAGTATCCCCCTATCAGTGCTTAATTCAAGAACATTAAAAGACAATAGGTCAACAAAGGGACAAGAGAAGGTGAGGACAGCCCATGGAGGAATGGAGCCAGATTTAGGACCTCAATGCAGCTCAGAGTCAAGGCAGTAGAGGCATGTATGTCAGACTGGAAAAGATCTCAGGGTTCTCAGCAAGCTCCTAAAGATCTGGCCCTTGATAAATAAGTCCCTAATGTTACACAAAGAGACAGTCAGAATCCTTACTCAAGGGTGGCTAGCGGGGCAGTAAATGAAAGCAGCCTTGATCACATGGCAAATTATGTATATTTAAAAATCTGCCCAAGCTTAACTCCAAAGCTACTGAACCGTCTTTGCAAAAGTTGTGGCCATGGAACAGGAGCACCTGCATGCCTGCCCTCACAGTCGTTTGTGTATGTGTGTGTGTGTGTGTGTGTGTGTGTGTGTGGTGGTGGTGGTGGTAATAAAATGAAGGCATGTGTGTGTGTGTGTGTGTGTGTTTGTGGTGGTAGTGGTAATAATATGAAGGCATACTGAACTTTCTATACTGCTAGGGAAAAGCTTGGGGCTCTATCTTTATATAGTTGCTAGAGGCCAAGGAATTAGGAGCTCTGATTCTTGGGCAACTCTTCCAGAAACTTTCGCTTTCCATCTCCTATCTGCTAGAGAAGTAACATGGAAGAGAGAAAATAATGACAATACTTGGGCCTGGGGAAAGTTTTCTCCACTCCAGTAACAGTTTCCTGCCAGGCAGAGCTAACTTTTCAAAACATCTTTGCAAAGAGTTGAGCGTGGCAAGAAAAAATAAAATGCAGTAAATATAGAGACTTCTTTTTGTCCTGCCATGTTTGCTCCGAGCTTCTGAGCAGGATATCAAAATCTATTGAAGAAGAACCACCATCATGAAATGAACTTCGGTTCTGAAATGTTCCCTGGGGACCGCTAAAGCATTGTACATGTGATTGGTTCACCACGGAAATTAGTGAAATGAATGAATCAATGAATGAACGAGAAGAACACTAAAACTAACATAAACACTGGGAACCACTACCATAGCAAAGCTTTTCAGTTTCCACATTTGGTTAGTTTTAAAATAGCCTCCTGCCTTAGTTTGGGCTTTCTGGAAATAGACTTGGAGGTTGAGGGATTTCTGTGCAGGAAGCTCTTAGAGATGCACAGTAAGGGAGGGAAGGAAGTAGCATAGCATGGAGAGGCTGAACTACAATGCAGGTTGCAACAGAGGCTTCAGCTAGTCCCCTGGAAGTGCTAAAGCTACGATGGCTCTTTGGAATTGTCAGAAATGGAGGCAAAGTGGCCAGGAGTTTGTGCCCTTACATCGGCCAGCCATGGGATGCTGGGTGCCAATGGAAGGTCTGATGTGAAGAAAGCAGTTCCACCAGTGGAGGGAAAGTCCCTGGGAGGACCCAGGGGCAATCTTTCGACAGCAACTAACATTGCCAGGCCCGAGTGCCTCCATCCCGAAGGCACATCACAGCATGCAGCACACTCTCCTCCCATTGTCCACACCCCTACTCCACAAGAGCACGTGTCTATGCAAGACAAGTAACTAAGGTTGACTGCATTCGCTCTTTAGAGCTAGGACACAGAGGAGACTGGGAGGCTTCCTCCTCTTCACACTCATTTTTGAGACTAACTTAGCTTCTAGTCCATAGAGACTTGATTCACATTCAGTCATTGGGATTTGCATAACAGAACATATAAAAATATCTGAAAGAGCCTGTTTTCAGGAGCTGAAGCAAGCTCTCTCATCTGTGAAAATGACCAGCAGAGGACAGAACCCTGGAAGGAGACATTGGGCCCATCCAGTCTGGTGTTCCATCTTTCCTGCACCCTATTTGACAGATGGTCACCCAGCTGCCTCTGGATGACTGTTCACCTGACTCTTCCATAGAAGGAAGTCTGCTCTGCTGCTAGAAGACATAATTGTGAAAATGTTTAAACTTATGCTGAGCACAAGTCTCTCCCCTTGTAAATGGATCTTCTTTCTACTCTTCAGAGTTATGTAAAAATAAGTTTATTCTATTGTGTGATGGGAGGCCCTTTCTGTTTCTCTCAACAAAACCCATGTCCTCTCATTTCTGTACCAATCATGCCTCACTGCTTCAGGTTCCTCAGACAGCCTATTTTCTAAATCACTTTGGCCCTTCTCCTCTGAGCATACTCTTGGTAAAAATCGCTTCGGCAAAAGCATCGCCCAGAAGTAGACACACTTGAGGCAGGCAAACCCAGCATGTTGTCATGATAGGTCTTTGCCCTAAACATTCTTCAAGTTATTAATAAACCAATTCGTTCCTTGACAGGTATGGAAATTTGCACAGATTCCAGATCTACCATCAATGCTAACTCCACATGGTCTGGAGAAAATGTAAAAAAAAACCAAACCAAACCAAAACAAAAAACCTCATTCTCAAAAAAGAGGGAGAGGTATTAGGTTGGAATTTGTGTTAGCCAACTGGCCAGAACACACACATGCTACTTAAAAAAAAAAAAAAAGTCAATAAATCAAAACATCAGAATAAGACTCTAACATAACTTGTTAATATTATTTATTCATTTTTATAAAATTGGACTCTTCATGATCAAGGTTGTTTCTTGCTCATGCTTCTGTTTCATTTCCATAAATTAATCAAATGCCTCAGGAGTATCTACTGTGTATGTGTAAGAACTATCTGAGGTGTGTGTGTGTGCATGTGCGCGTGTGCATTAGGAAGAGAGTACAGGTTGAAGGAGAAAGAGGGAAACCAACAGAGAGGAGAGAATCTGACTGAATGAACATGGAGCTCCGATCCAAGGGAGAGACACCATTAGGAGCCGAAAAGTCACAGGAGTGATTTAACCAGGACTTCTGACTAGGAACGCCTTGATTTTCTGGCTTCGCAAACAGCTTGCCCATTTTCAGCAGGTATGTTCCTTTTCCAAAGCCAACCTTTCATCCCCTCTCCTTCTAAAACCAGAACTGAGATTGTCTTGGAAGAACAAAGCTAGTGCCACGCTGGGATACTAGCGAAATGTCAGTGAAATGACTCATAATGGCAAATGACTCTCCTTGATTCAAGAAGAGTTTCTATATTTAATATAAGCATCAAAGACCATCTTATATACTGACATACATACACACACATACATAAACACACATACACATACACACACAAAATGTAGAGAATACTCCTGAAAAGGGTCTAAAAGACACAGAGGTTGGGTGCTGTCTACATAGAAGGGACAGAGACACAATGACTCTATGTACCACAAGCATGATTTATAAAAGTATATAAGAGGGGTCAGAAGGTGAAATGGTGGTGAAAGCACTGGATCTCACATAGCCAACTTCATGGTTCGAGTCCCAGACCAAGGGGCCTGGAAAACACGCTGGGTGCATAGACATGCAAGCCTGAAATCTCAAGAGGAGAATGGAAAAGAAGGATTGTGGTGTGGCTATCCCCCCCCCCCCCCTCAGGGGTGATTTCTCACTTTCTCCCTCTGTCTCTCTCCAGTGAGCACATGCACCCTGTGGCAAAAATATCTTAAAAAAAAAAAAAATTGTCTTGGAAGAACAAAGCTAGTGCCACGCTGGGATACTAGCGAAATGTCAGTGAAATGACTCATAATGGCAAATGACTCTCCTTGATTCAAGAAGAGTTTCTATATTTAATATAAGCATCAAAGACCATCTTATATACTGACATACATACACACATATACATAAACACACATACACATACACACACAAAATGTAGAGAATACTCCTGAAAAGGGTCTAAAAGACACAGAGGTTGGGTGCTGTCTACATAGAAGGGACAGAGACACAATGACTCTATGTACCACAAGCATGATTTATAAAAGTATATAAGAGGGGTCAGAAGGTGAAATGGTGGTGAAAGCACTGGATCTCACATAGCCAACTTCATGGTTCGAGTCCCAGACCAAGGGGCCTGGAAAACACGCTGGGTGCATAGACATGCAAGCCTGAAATCTCAAGAGGAGAATGGAAAAGAAGGATTGTGGTGTGGCTATCCCCCACCCCCCCCTCAGGGGTGATTTCTCACTTTCTCCCTCTGTCTCTCTCCAGTGAGCACATGCACCCTGTGGCAAAAATATCTTAAAAAAAAAAAAAAAAGACTTCTTAAAAGGCTCCCTTACCATACAGCCACACAGACTTCATGTGGTTTCTCACAGATGGATGTGATGCTGCAGTTGCTCTTGCAGAATTTCTGGTTGTCACAGGTGGAAAATCTCACATCACAAAATTTACACAGTTGCGAAAACTTGACTGCACCATTGTTGTCAGTGCCCATCATGTCGTTATTAACTGGAGGGAAAGAAAGATATATTAAACAATTACCCTCTGCTAGGCTGTCAGCCAATGAATTGCTGAAGATCTGAGACAATTTCAAATAACTTCATGTCATGAGAATGGACAGAAGAAAGCAAAGTAGTTCTTTCACATCAGATTAGAGTTCCCCCATGGATGCAATTGGTAATGAAAGCCATTGTATGGTGGGGAGTGGGAGATGGGTTGGTTGAGTAGCTTCTTGCTTTTGTCAATGATTATCATAAGGTCTTTTTTCTACAAAAGCCTTAACACTCAATATAGGAGCACAGATTCCTTTGTACTGGGTACTAAGAGCACAAAGAGAAGCCTTAAGGAAATTATAGTGGGTGATAGATGAGGAAATGGACCAGGGCAGAGGAACCCAAAATAGAGGGATGGAGAGGATGTGGAAGCCAGACAAGAATCACTGCCCAAATGGGCAGAGAGAGAAAGGTCAGAGCCAGGCATAGTGGTGACATCCAAAAGGGAACAGGCCAACTCAAAGGAGAAAATGTGGGGTGATGGTACAAGACTTGGCCAACATTTTCCCAACCTACACCCAGAAGAGCTATAAGGGTCTTCTTTGCAGGGACTGATTTCATGGGTCTCTCTCCATTGCCTTGAAAGAAACCAGTTGATTAACCAACCCTTCTGAGTGCCTCTTAGACACAATCCCAAGCATCCAGACTCTGGATTCATGAAGGCTAATTAAAAGCTGATTTCACCTCAAGGATTGGCTAGTGGCCCCTGGTTACCTCTCTGACCTCATCCCTTACGACTGCCACCACCAACCTTTTATCCCTTCCTTGATACGTTTGAGGACACATGGACCTTCCCAGGAGGAAGATTTCACTATTTCCTCATACCTTTCACTTGCTATTACCTTCGTCTGGCTTACTGTCATCTTTCTGGTCTCTGGTCTCATCCTAAACCAAGTCACTACCACATGGCTCTATTATCATTTGCACAGACTATCTGGATCAGGTATTTGCTTATAGTTTATTCACCAAAATACACATTCTGTAAGATTGTTATCTATTTGCTTACATACTATATCTCCAGTGACAAGAGCCTGTCAGATAGAAGATACCTAACAGTATTACCAAATAAATCGGTAAACAGATGAATACCCATAGGCCTGTATTCAAGGAGTTCATCTTAGGCCTTTTACATCAAGTGGGACAGGGCATAGAATTCCTTCATTCAGATTAGAAAGAAGTTTGATTACAAAGGTTACTATTCATTTGATAAAATGTTGAAGACAAACCATTTTTTTTGCAATACACATGCAGTGTGTTCTGTAGCAATGCAGGAGACACCACACACCATTGCCCATCCTTTTTCTCAGGGGGATGCCTTTTCATTGGTGATGGTGGTAAAGACCTAAGTTGGGAGAGCCAACGGAAATGAGGCAAAGCCACTGAGTGTTCAACCAACACATGTGAATTAATGTTTATATGCCAGACTAAGAAAGATTAAGCACTTAGGCTGCATGTGCTACCACACTAGTTGCTGGCCCTTAGTTAACTGGGAGATACTTCTCCAAAGCATCCCTCTTAGAAAGAGGCCTGAGCAAAACCTCCTTGTGTTCTCTCTGTGTTAAGTACACTCCTGCCTAGAGACAAACAGTGTGAAACACACACACAGTCACCCTCAGTGTTCTGGACTTTAGATTTCTGTCATCGATACTCTACCCTGAAGCCTTCTTTGCTGGCTTGGGCACAGCACCTGTTTCCTGGGTCTCTAAAAATATAAACATGTATAAATTTAAGATTTGCTTTCTTGTGGTAACAGTAAATACAGAAGAAAAAAATAAACCCATTCATCCCTCTCAGGCCTCAAGCTCATTTCAGGAAGTATATTTTTAGGTAAGAAACTATTTTGAATTTCTCAGTGTCTCCCAGACCAAGAGCTCTACAGCTAAAAATACAGGCAGAAATGCTCTCTGAACCTTGCGTTAAATTTGGGACTAACACAACAATGAATATATATATATTTTTCTACAACGGTTATATTTGGGTTTGTTTGTGAAAGAGCTGATTTAACCTTTTAGGTTTTGTCTTAAGATACTGCCAAAGCAAAAAAAAAAAAAAAAAAATCAAAGAAAAAAACTTATGTTTTGATTTTTTGTGGGGGAGGGAGAGTATAGAGTATGTTTAGGACAAACATGCATTTGCTGATTAAGAAGTTTTGTTGCTTTTCTTTCCTTTATTTATTTATTCTTTTTGGAGAGGTTTTTGCTTTAAGGTATGTGCACTTGCCAGAAAGACAGAGAAAGGCAGAGAGACAGAAAGTGAGAAATCACCACCCTGGGGGGATGGCCACACCGCAATCCCTTCTCCTCCATTCTCCTCTTGGGATCTTGGGCACATGCGCACACGCGCCTAGTGTGTGTTTAAACCACCGAGTCCGGGACTTGAACCATGGTTGACTACATGGGACTCCAGTGACATAGCCATTACGGCAACTGCTGGTCCAAGTTTTGTTGCTTTTAAATATGAAATCAGAACTTCATAACTTGGAAGTGGGATTTAAGCCTCAATTAATGACTAGCAACTTTCGGGGCATGTTGAAATCAGCCACCCTAGAGCTTTAAAATTAATAAGCTTAGGCCCCACTCCCAAATAGTTTAATTTAATTTTTCTAGAGGTTGGCTTGCGCATCAACTTTTCATAAGTTGTCCAGATGATTCTAATATGTAACCAAGGCTGAGAACCTCAACTGAGAATTTATTGACAAAAATACAACAAACACAAAATAAAACAGAAGACCTCTCACCACCCTCCTTTCTGCTTCCCACCACATAAGCCCATAAAGCAACTTATTTGATGGTGCAGGGGCAGCTCTCCAGTAAAACTGGAATAAGTTCCCTTGCGGAAAAACATGCACCTAACGAGATGAGCTTAGCTCTTCTATACCTCTGATGGAAAGAAAACCTTTTCTGGGCTGGACAATCCTTTCTTAGCAAAAGCCCAGAAGTGAGAGAAAAGTGACAGGAGTCAGAAGTGATACAATAGAAATAAAAACAGGCGAGACGGGTTCTGGAAGCAGCCGCGGTCACCACAGATGTGTTGACAAGTAGAAGTGGTTGAGGTCCGATGCCTCCAAAACAATCAACAGGGAGGAGACCAAAGGAGGACCATGAAAAGAAAAAAAAAAAAAAAAAGAGAAAGAGAGAGAGGGAGGGGAGAGGAATGTAAAGAAAAAGAGAGAGGAGAGCCACCAATCTGCACAGCTTCGGGGTGCTCCTTGCCTTCCAATGCCCCAGATACATGCATTGCAGATATACAATGCACTCTGCCTTACAGGGAAGTCCAACAAGAGACGAATTCTTGATTAAATTTTGGGCAAGAGGCCAACAGCCAACTACAGTCCTTACACAGGCATGATAGGCATGGGCCTATGAGGAAGGGGCAAATACAATGGGAATTCACACGTGTGGGGCACTCACCATATCCTAGGAAGGGTACCACCTTAGAACAAATAAACTCACAAGGATCCAGCCTGGAATGTCCCGGCTTTCTTCATGTTATAGCTGAAGCTAGCAAAAGCTACCACAGTTAAGGACTGACCAGCAGGGCCAGTAGGTGGCATGGTCATTAAGGTGCTAACTCCCACATGACCGACTGCGATTAAGATCCTGGACCCTGGTGGCTTGAAAATCATGGCTGACACGTGTGGAGGCATGCACACCCAAAATCCCAGGAAGGAAAATGGAAGAGAAGAGATAGCGGTGTGGCCATCCCCTGTGGGGGCGTGATTTCTCACTTTGCCTCTCTCTGTCTGTCTCCGAGGAGTGCATGTGCCCTGTGATGAAAACCTAAAAAAAGACTCGGCCAGCATTTTTTGGGGGTCTTTACGCAGGCATAAAGACTTTCACTACAATCTACTAGCAGCCAGTTTCCTTCTATTAGTTGACTCCAGGAGATTCCCCACCCTAACAATTCTCACCAACACCTGATAGGTCTACTTCCACCCTTTGCCGGAAGCCAGTATTTTCTTTCTCTTTATGATACAGGCTCTCAGATCCTTGGTGCATGTATGGGATAGGCAGGTGAGTTCAGAGGGCAACGCTACTCTTTACCTTGGAGGGTCACCTAATTCTGATATAAACCTTATGAACTCACTCTACAGAGGGGAGAAGAGAAACAGATACAAACGTCCTTTTATCCTTTAAGAGGGTTCACAGATCTCCTGAAAGTCCCTAACCCCCAGTCAAAGAACCCCAGGTCTATTCCAGGTTCCCTTAAGAGTCACTAGTAACATCTTTTTTTTTTTTTTTTGGAGAGGTTTTTGCCATAGTGTGCGTGCGCTCGCCAGACAGACAGACAGAGACAGAGAGACACATATGTCCTTGCTTTTATTACTCCACTCAGTATATATATGTACCATATCGTCATGGTTTCTAAAGGTGGATAGTTCATACACTAGAGCAAATACTTTAGTGAATGCCTTTGTTCATTGTTTATGGCTAAATGAAATTAAAAGTCCCTTATTAAATCTTTTTTTTTTTTTTTTGGAGAGGTTTTTGCCATAGTGTGCGTGCGCTCGCCAGACAGACAGACAGAGACAGAGAGACAGAAAGCGAGAAATCACCCCCTGGGGGGATGGCCACGCCTCCATTCTCCTCTCAGGATCTTGGGCATGCACGTACATGCACCCGGCATGAGTTTTTAAGCCACTGGGTCTGGGATGCAAACCGCAGTTGACCACATGGGAATCCAGCGACATAGCCATTACGCTAACTGCTGGTCCCAAGAGTCACTAGTAACATCTAAGCAGGATCCTGCTAGTCAGAGTGAGAGGGAGGGCTAAGGAAAAGGGATGGGAGGGTGACAGTCATTCTACGTAGGCACCATTGCCTCTGTGCATTCCAATTGACAAGAGGAGATGGATCACCCATAACCTCACATCGCCTGTGGCATCTGCTTACACATCATACATGTTTGAGAAGCCAAAGGCATATGAAGGAAATAAATGCATACATGTGAACAGCT